TGTAAGTTTCCCTGTTCTGGATTTTTCATATGAACACGATGATACAACGTGTGGTCTTTTGTGACTGAATACTTTTCCTTAGCATAATATCTTTAAAGTTAATTCATGAAGTAAAGAAAGATAAAAAGTTCATTTGTGTTGTAGCATGTATCAGTACCTCATTCCTTTTTATAGCTGAATAATATTCCATTTTATGGATATACGGTATTCTAATTATCTATTTGTCAGTTAGTAGACCATTGAGTTATTTCTACTTTTTGGCTAGTATGAGTAATACTGCTATAAACATTAGTGTGCAAGTTTTGTGTGGACATATATTTTCATTGCTCTTGTGTGTATACCCAGATAGAACTGCTAGGTCATATGATAACTGTTTAATAACTCAAGGAACTGACAGTTTTCCAAAGGACTGCACCATTTTACATTCCCCATAAGTAGTGTATGAGAGATCCAATTCTCCATATCCTTGCTAACATGTAATAATTTTCTGACTTTTTTGTTACAGCCATCTTATTGGGTGTAAAGTGATATCTCATTGTGGTTTTGATTTTCATTTTCCTGATGACTAAAGATATTGAATGTCTTTTCATGTGTTAATTGGCCATTGATATATCTTCCTTGAAGGAATGTCTATTAAGTTCCTTTTCCCTGTTTAATTGGGTTGCCTTTTTATTGTTGTATAATTTCTTTTTTTTTTTTAAGCAGGATTTATTGAGAGGACAGAAAAGCTACCACAGTGGGAGGAGACCCAAAGGGGTTGCCCGTATAATTTCTTTATATATTCTGACACAAGTTCTTTATCAGATATATAACTTGAAAATATTTTTCCCTACTTTGTACGTTGTCTTTTCATTTTATTGATGCTGTCCCTTGAAGTACAAAGTTCTTAAGTCTGATCAATTTTTTTGTATTTTTATTGTCACAAGTGCTTTTGATGTCATGTCAAATTATTTGCCAAACCCAAGATCACAGAGATTTATATCTACATTTTTTCCTAAGAATGTTACAGTTTTAGCTCTGATACTTAGGTCTTTGATCCATTTTGAGTTAATCTTTTATATGGTATTCATTCAGCTTCATTCTTTCACACATGGCTGTCCAGTTATCCAGCACCATTTGTCAAAAAGACTATTGTTTCCTCCATTGAATAGCCTTGGTGCCCTTGTAAAAAAATCAGATGATTTATTTCTATGTGGGTTTATTTGTGAACTCTTGATTCTATTCTCTTAATCTCGTATGTCTATCCTTGTGCTAATGCCACACTGTCTTGATGGAGTATTGAACCCAATACGTTTTGAGTCTTCCAAGTTTATCCTTTATCAAGATTATTTTGGTTATTCTGAATCCTGTGTAATTCCATATGAATTTTATAATCAGCTAGTCAATTTCTACAAAGAAGATAGCTGGAATTCTGATTGGGATTGTGTTGAATCTGGATTAATTTGGAGTATTGTCATCTTAGTTATGTTAAGTCTTTCATTCCATGAGTATAGAGTGTTTTACAGTTATTTACATCTTCTTTAATTGCTTTCAACAATATTTTGTGGATTTTAGAGTATAATTTTGCATTTATTTTTGTTAAATTTATTACTTCATTTTGTTCTTTTTGATGCTACAGTAAGTGGAATTGTTTTAAATTCATTTTAAAATTGTTCATTACAATTGTAATTAAATATGTTCAGAAATATAATGTATTTTTATGTTGGTCTTGTAGCCTACAACCTTGCTGAACTCCTTACTTATACAGGTTGAATATGCTTAGTACTAGAAGTGTTCAGATTTGGGAATATTTGCATTATACCTACCAGTTGAACATTTCTGTTTCAGAAATCTGAAATGCTCCAATGATTATTTCCTTTGAGTGTCATATCAGTTGATTATATCAGTCTTGTCAGACTGCCATAACAAAATACCATGGACTGGGTATCTTAAATAGCAGTAACTTGTTTTCTCACAGTTCTGGAGACCAGAAGCTGAAGATCAATAATTGGTATCACCTTTTCACTTTGTGTTTACATGGCTTTTCCTTACTGTATACACATGGAGAGAGAGAAAGCAAACCTTCTGGTGTCTCTTATAAGAGTATTATTCCCATTGATCCAGGACCTACCTTTATGATTGCATCTAATCCTAATTACCTCCCAAAAGCCCTGTCTCCAAATACTATCACATTGGAGGTTAGGTCTTCAGCATATGAATTTAGTGTGGGCGGTGGATCACAAACCTTCAGTCTTTAATACTGATGTTCTTTGTCTTACTGAGTTCAAATTAGGATTTTTGTAAGGGATGTCCACCATGAACAGATGCTCTCAGTTTTTACTTACCTATGTAGGTCTGTAGCTTTTTTGGATATAGGGTTCTTGGTTGATGGTTTTTTTTTTTCTTTTAGTACTTTGAATATGTTATCCCACTGCCTCTGGCCTCTGGCCTCCATCTTTACTGATAACTAGTCAGTTGCTAATCTTTTTTTTTTTCCTGGGCAACAGATAGTTGTTAATCTTATCAGGGTTTCTATATAAGTACTGAGTCATTTTACTCTTACTGCTTTTGAGATTTTCTTGTCTTTTACATTTTTACTCTGATATTTCTGTGGAACTTTTTGTGTTTATCCTGCTTGGATAAGCTTCTTAAGCTTAAGCTTCCTAGATGAGAAAGTTATCATTTTGCAGTACATTTTAGATATTTAAAGTCATTATTTCTCAGAATACTTCTTCAGAATACTTCTCTTTTTTCTCTCCTCTCTGGTACTCTCATTATACATAACGTTAACTTTACTTATGGAGTCCACATTTGTCTGAGACTCTCTTCCGTTTTTTGCTCTTTGTTCTTTGGTTATATAATCTCTTTAAATTCATTTGTTAATCTTCAAATATACATATTCTTTCTTTTGCCAGTCCAAATCTACTATTGAACCATTCTAATAAATTATTAGTTTTAGCTATTGTATTTTTCAACTCAGTAGTTTCCATTTGGTTTTTTAAAATAATTTCTTTATGGATATTCTTTATATATTAGTGCAATATTGTCATCATGTCTTCTTTATTTTCTTAATTGCAGTTTCCTTTGGTTCTTTGAACATATTTACAATGACTACTTTATAGTCTTTTTCTGAGAAATGTTAAAAAAAATCTGTTCTCTCTTAGCTTCTGTTCCCTGCTTTTATCTAGTGCATATGTCATACTTTCCTGTTTCTTTGCATGCTGTATCATTTTTTATTAGACATTTTAGATAATATATCAACTCTTGGTAGTGGTCTTCCCCTGCTTGTTACTGTTGTTGGCATGTTTATATGTTTAGTGACTGGCTGAGTTATTTTAGTCTCTTAACCTTCCCTTTCCCCTCAAAGTGTTCAGCCTTGGATGTTGTTCCTCTGGGAGGCACAACTTCAAGTATTTCTACTCTGGAATAGCAGTGGTTTGGGTGAACTTTCTTTCTCTTCTGTTAGACCCAACTGTTAGACTCCTCTAATTGCCCACTGATTGCTCCATTATTTTCAGCGATGCCCTGCACCATAAGTTGCTGTACAAACGAATGCAATCAAATTCTGGCTCTTTTGAAGGAGTAATTTCTGGGGTTAGGTCTGATTTTTGTTATGACCGCAGGAGAGCTCCTCCCAGCTATCCTTTACCCTGGTTCTCTCATGTAAACTAGGAGGCCTACCATTTAGCCTGAATCTCCATCTCTTCCCAGTTGTCTTCACTGCAACCTCTGCTGTTCTTAAAGCACCCATAGGCTTGAACTTCTGCTGTTACGAAGGAAGACTTCTTTTGGAAAGAATTAGGTACAGCAACAGTTGAAGTTTTATGACCTGTTTTTTCCCCTCAGCAACGTCTCTGGGCCAGGGATCTGGAGGACAGTAGCAGGCTCGCTGAGTGCCACCCCCCTCTGCTCTAGATGCTGAGCACTTGGGAATTGAGGAGATCACAGCCTGGGGCCTTCTCAGCTTACCTCCTGACACGGCATCACCTCTTCATCACTTCAGAACAAGAGTGATCAGGGTCCCAGTATTCTCAATATGCTACACCCAAGGTAGAGCCTCAGTTCTACAAGCAGAGGTTGGGAGGAATGGGAGCCTCCACCCCTCAACTTCACTTGCCCTGGGCTTAGCTTTCAGCAGCAGGTTCCTGGGAGCAGGAGGAAAAATGCTGATGTCTTGCCCCTCCTAGGAAGAAGGCTCTTCGTCGAGGTGCTGCTGTGAGAGACAGCCCTGTGTTTTTGGCTGCAGCGGTCTGGAATGGGGTCTCCACCTTGCTAAGCTGAGAGGGGGGTGAGAGTGAGTGATCTTATGTCAAAATCAGTCTCTAACTTTTCTTACCAAATTTTTGTAGATGTTCTTAAACAGGCATTTTCTTACTGCTGTTCATCCTCAGGACCATTTCCAGATATTTTAAGTGGCTGCTTTTTTTATAATTCTCAGTCTCACTGAGACGAGGGTGAGCAGAATCCTCATGCTGCCATGTCACATATTTTCCAATAAGTGAAATCTTTATTCAAAAAGTGTGACATATACTATTCTAGCATGTTTTGTTTTGGTTTTGTTTTTACTTTTTTTGTGTGTGGGGGGGGCAAGCAAGATTTATTGAGAGGTCAGAAAAGCTCTCAGAGCAGGAGGGGACCCATGGGGGTTGCCCTTTTTTTACATTGATTTTTAAAGATTTGATGAAGCTATCAGAGTAACTGGGTACATATTCTTTGGCTATATCACCCAGGCATTTACACATCATCCCTAATGCCAATGGCAATTTTATGATCTCAGGTTAGGAGTAGATTCAGGAAGCAGCAAAAGGGCAGCATCAGATAAGCTATACTGAAACTAAAATTATTGCTTAGTTGTTGTTTTCCACTCCTTCCACCCCTTCACCCCTTCACTGTTGTTTTCCACCCCATTATCATCCCTTCACTGAACTACTAAAGTGATACATCCAACAGATCCACTAATTCAGCTGCTTGATAATGCCTCTTTCATCGTGGAGGACAGGTTAGAATATGGCCTATCTCAAAATTGGTCATTCTCCAGGAGCACCAGAGATATCTTTGTGGTGGATTGTGTTTATTGATACCTGCCCTATGGTTTCTCAAGCCAAAGGCACTTTTACATTAAATACATGATATGGACTATTTTTTGGGTTCCGTACAAGTACTTGTTTAAATCCTTGAAAAGTCAGAATCCCTTTTTAAGGAAAATATTAGCCTTTTTGCAGGTACTTCTGCATCCTACGTATTTATTCAATAGGAAATAATCCTCTTTAGGCAAGATTTCCAGCTCAGCTACTAAGTTTCCTGTGAGATGTGAGCTATGTCTGATATGTAGTGCTGAAAGACTGGATTCCTCTATAATTAACTGCATGCTTTAAATTTATCACAGAATACAATTATGATATTCTACAGTCCAGCACCTGCCAGGGACTTAACTGCTTGCTTTCGTTATCATCCTAGCAGAGTTATATAATCCCTGTGTTCACCATTTTGTCTTAGCTGCCAGGAAACACAAGGCCATACATTCAGTGCTCCATGAAAGCAATAAACTTAGACCAGGTATCTCTGTTCCTTTTTAAAAAATAAATTTCTGGTCGGGCTAGGTGGCTCAGCCTATAATCCCAACACTTTGGGAGGCCAAGGTAAGTGGATTGCCTGAGCCCGTGGGTTCAAGACCAACCTGGGCAACTTGGCAAGACCTCGTCTCTACAATAAATCAAAAATTAGCCGGGCGTGGTAGCGTGCGCCTGTAGTTCCAGCTATTGGAAGGCTAAGGCGGAAGAATTGCTGGAGCCCAGCAGATCAACTCCGGGGTGGCCGTGAGCATGCATGCCACTCACCCCGGCCTGGGTGAAAGAATGAGACTCCAACTCAAAAAAATAAAATAAAATAAAAAATAAATTTCTTGATTCACTAGTCATACTCAGTTTTTTAAAAGAATTTGCATTTGGGAATAGGTGGGCTATAAATGAATATTTCTATAAATGTGGGCATTTAATTTAAAAGACCTAGATAAATTGACCATTAGCATTTAAAGAAAACCCCAACATATTGTACAGTAAAAGTTTTGACATTTATTTTCATTAATTTAGCATGTAGTTTAGTCGAATGCTGATTAATTGCCAAGTTTATTTATGTATGCCATCATCACAAAAATCTATAAGATGAAAATCACCTTGACTTGCAAAAAGCGTTATGAGGTAGAAGGCCGATATTTTCTTCCAGAGATGGCTGAGCATCTGACCCTCAAATAAATTGAGGTTTATGTTGCAGAATATCAATATAAACAACTTCAGATGGCCATACTCTGACATCTGCTAACGATTTCTGAAGCAGATTCAGATTGTTAGTTGAAATGAAATCCCTGAGACAACATTTAAAATCTAAACTCTCAGTCTTTCTTTTATTTTCACATATACTTTAATGTCATTGAGATGCTACTGCATACATTTTATTTATTGGGCATGGTAAATTGTTCACATCATTAAAAATGTATTCATAAAAATTTTTCATATTTATTAAGAAAAATTCATATTTGTGAAGAAATTTTTAATGATTACACTATTCCATTTTAGAAATATATAATTGTTTAGGCTGCAGCCAAACATTTAGGTTAAATCCTTTTCTTTTCTTTTTTTTTAACTTTATTAAGCCAACTTTAATTCCTTTGTTTGCCTGAGTCCTCAGAAAGGAATTAATAGGTCAAAGATACAACTGTTTGTCATATGGGTCCTTGGTACATTTTAGTAAAATGTTTAATTTGCAATCCCAGTATGTACTAATTTTTTTATTGTTTTCACATTTCATAAATAGCAACATATTATATTAATTTGGCTCTTGGATTATTAACGAAGTTATCATTTTTACATTTGTCTGTTTACATTTTGAATTATTTGGCCAAGTCTTTTATCATAAGTTGGTAAAACAGGTATTAGTAGCATGTTTATTGATGAGAGAGCTGAAGTTCAAGTAATATGTTCAAAATCACACAACAAATAAAAGGTGGAATTTTTTCATGCTCTCTTCTGACACCTAAATTTATGGTGCTTTGTGCTAGGTCAAGTATTAAGTGTCAAAAGCCATTAACACATATAGCAATGTAATATCACTTGAATTTGCAAGAATGTCTAGTGAGTATATCTTAATGTCAAGTATTGATTTCTGCTCATACTATGATGTATCAATTAGATGAATATGATCTAATTAAAATAGTATCAGTACTACACCATAAAAGGTCAATTTTAAGCATTCATAAGAGGTCATATGACATAAATTTGTTTCATACTTTAGTAGGCTACAGTAGTCTTCTGATTTTAAATGCATATGTTTTTATCGTGGCTTTGAGTTTAAAACACAGAATGAGGAAATAAAACTGGAGGGAAGGGGAGACGGTACATATGAATTATGTAGGATGTTATAGAATAAAGTGAACACTATAGAAAACCCAGAAGAAGAAACTTTTTAGATATCTTATTATGCCATTCATTAATCTCCAGTGATCCTGTGGAAAGGAGCATTTTGCAGGAATTTGACTGGCTGTGCCATGCACCGAAAAGAGACAACTCCTTAACAGTTTGGCAAAAAAATTTATGTAACTGCAAGACTAGTTTTTTGTTACAATGGCCCTAATACCTCTGAAAGTGGTTATTATTAATTATTTTTAATTTATACATTCATAGTTATATGTCAGAACTTTTGAGGAAGTTTAGGACTAAACAGATTCATGAGTTATGTTTTATTTTCCTGTCCAAGGGTAGAACATTAACTTCTTCAGGGACTAGGCCTGGTGTTCCTGATTTTCTATCCTGTCTTCCAAAGGAGAAATGAGTGAAGCTACTGCAGAGCTGATTCCTTTCTCATATATAAATATTTGGGGGGGGGTGTTGTTTGGTTGGTTGGTTGGTTGGTTGGTTGGTTGTTCGCTTGTTTTAGAGACAGGGTCTTGCTCTCTTGCCCAGGCCGGAGTGCAGTGGCATGATCATAGGTACTGCACCCTGGGCTCAAGGGAGCCTCTCACTTCAGCCTTCTAAGTGGCTAGGACTACAGACACACACCATCATGCCCAGCTAAATTTTTTGTAAAGATGAGGTCTCACTATGTTGCCCAGGCTCGTCTTGAATACCTGACCTCAAGTGATCTCTCTGTCTTGGCCTCTCAAAGTGCTGAGATTACAGGCATGAGCCACTGCGCCCAGCCAGAATATTTGTATTTTAAGAGAGAGAGTATAAAGACTGACTTCTGTGCTTTTCTTTTTTTCAAGTGTTTAAATAATTTAAGAGCATAGCTCATTGCCTAGTCTGTGTCCTGTGAATTGTCTGTATGTCTTTTGGGGGAACTCAGTTTTATAATTCTAAAACTTTATTTTTATTCATTTATCTAAGAGTTAATCTAGTGCTAGAAAACTGTTTTATACTAAACATACACTCACTAGATGAAATAATAGAGAGTGGAGACTGCAAAAGGTAGGCAGGTAGGAGAGGGGTAAGAGTTGAAAATTTACCTATCAAGTAGTGTTCACTGTTTGGGTGATGGGTATATTAAAAGCTCAGACTTCACCACATTAGATGATAATTGTTGAATGATGGGCACATGGAGGTTCAGTACATTTCTGTATATTTAAAATAATTTCCATAATAAAAGGTAAACAGCTCTGTACTTCAGGCTGACAATTTCCCAGCTAATAAGAAAATCTTTGCCTCTTCCCCCTCCCATATTATTTGAAATAAACTCCAGGTATCGTACTAGTTCATATTCATTAGTATTTCAATATAGGTATCTCTAAAGCGTTTGTTTGTTTTGTTTTGTTTTGCTTTTTGAGTAATACGTGCATGTAAAAAATATGCACTTAAATATATAAAAACTCAGTTTATGCCGGGCACGGTGGCTCAGCCTGTAATCCCGTGCCTTTGGGAGGCTGAGGTGAGTAGATTGCCTGAGCCCGCGGGTTCAAGACCTGCCTGGGCAGGCGAGACCTCATCTCTACAATAAATCAAAAAAATTAGCTGGGCGTGGTAGTGCGTGCCTGTAGTTCCAGCAACTTAGAAGGCTGAGGCGGAAGGATTGCCGGAGCCCAGCAGGTCGAGGCTGCGGTGGCCGGGAGCGGCCACTGCACTCCAGTCTGGGCGACAGAGTGAGACTCCAACTCAAAACAAACAAACAAACAAACAAAAACTCAATTTAAAGTGATAAAATGGAATAGCAGCCTGTAGTTTAGTATTTAGTAGTATGGGATATCTTGCTTATCTCAGTGATATGAATATTCTCTTCCCTTTGCAGAGTGGCTTCCTGTCACCCATGAGTCTCAGAACTTAGTGAACAACATCAGGGCGAGAGACACTGCGTGGCCCGAGGGAGCTTTCTCATGGTTTAAAACAGAACCTAAAAAATCCTTTCATCCTATGGGATCCTTTCAGTTTTCCTTAGTATCAGCACATTTACAGACCATCTCATAAAGCTATGTTGTTTCCACAGATAGCTGATACTTATATTACATATTCCAATCATAATTACGTCAATTTCAAAAAGTACTGTTTTCACCTATGGTCCAAATCACTGCTTATGAAATCCTCTCTTTACATCTCTGTATACCCCTTCCCGTTTTTTTTAACCACATTGAGTTACTGCCACTACCCAAAAAGAAAAACCAGTAAAACTTTACTAATTTTTATTAACTGGGAAATTGTCAGCCTGAAGTACAGAATCAATTGTTTACTTTTATTATGGAAATTTTTTTAAACATACAGAAATGTACTGAACCTCCATGTGCCCATCATTCAACAATTATCATCTTTTTTTTTTTTTTTTTTTTGAGTTGGAGTCTCATTCTGTCGCCCACACTGGAGTGCAGTGGCCGCTCCCAGCCACCACAACCTCAACCTGCTGGGCTCCGGCAATCCTTCCACCTCAGCCTTTCGAGTAGCCAGAATTACAGGCACGTGCGACCACGTCTGGCTGATTTTTTTATTTATTGTAGAGATGAGGTCTCGCCAACTTGCCCAGGTGGATCTCGAACCCGCGGGCTCAGGCAATCCACTCACCTCAGCCTCCCAAAGGTGTGGGATTACAGGCTGAGCCACCGAGCCCGGCTACAATTATCATCTAATGACTATTTTCATATAAATTTTGCCTCTTGCCCCTCCCATATTATTTTGAAATAAATGCCAGGTATCATACTATTTCATATTCATTAGTATTTCAGTATAGGTATCTCTAAAGAGTTTGTTTGATTTTGTTTTGCTTTTTGAGTTGGGATCTCACTCTGTCAGCCAGCCAGAATGCAGTAGCATGATCATGGCTCACTACAGCCTCAACTTTCTGGGCTCAGGTGATCCTTCCACCTTAGCCTCCCAAGTAGCTGGGCTCACAGGTGCATACCACCATGCCTGGCTAATTTTTCTACTTTTTTTTAGTGGTGAGGTGTCACTGTGTTGCCCCGACTGGTCTCAAAATCCTGGACTCAAGCAATCCTCCCACCTCAGCCTCCCAAAGTGCTAGGATTACAGGCGTGAGCCACTGTACCTAGCTCTCTAAAGGTGTTTTTTAAAAAGCCACATAACTATAATACCATTTCACATCTTTTTTTAAAAAATCTAACAGTTAATTCCTTAATTATATCAAATATTCAGGTAGAATTTTTATTTCCATCTGCCCCCCAAATATTGCTTATGTTTTTAAACATTTATCTTACAGGGTTCCCATAGTCTGGATTTTACTGATTACATCATCATAGTATCATTTAACATGTCTCCCGGTATTCCTGCAATTCAGTAGTTTTATATGAAGTAGTGTTTTTAATGCAATTATATAAGACACAAATACAAAAAAATTGTTTAAACTAGATTGAGAAATACTACTTTTTAAAGAGAACTTTTTAAAATGATGAAAAAAGACATAATAGTTTTAGATACAAATTAAGGATCCTAATTACTAGAGAATTCTCAGAAAGAATAGTCTCAGTCTATGATTTGAAACTATTATCCTGAATAAATTTGTTAAACAGAGAAAAACTTCAGAGACATACTATGATAAACCCCATAATGAGTCTCAAAACTAGCTCTTCAAAAATACAGCAAAATAATTGTTTTATACTAACAGCTTTTTGTCAATATTTGTTAGAATATGTCCTTACGTGTTCTGTTGTTTTCTCTATTCTTAGTTCATAGTATAAGAAATAAAATATTTTTTCTAGGTCTCATCATTGTCAAACTGAATATTCTCTTTTTCTAAAATGTAGCTCAGTGAAAGCCAAATACATTATCTTTTTATTTTGTAAAATGTGTTATTTTTCTTCTTTTTAAAATAATTATTGAACCAATACAAAAACATTTAGAATAAGTTGTAGAATTCTAAGATTAATGGAATTAGGAATTTTTTTTCCTGGTTTTTAAAAATCAGTGTTATTGCCATAAACAAAATTGTTTTTATGCAGTTAAATTAAGTGAGGCTTAACTTGTACTGCTAACCAATTTGAAAATTAATTTTTTGGTTTTTAAAAATCAGTGTTATTACCATACATGGAAAGTTGTTGTATACAATAAAGTAATAACTTACAACTCACAGAGAAAAGAGTTAAATTAGATTTGACTTTTACTGCTAGCCAATTTATTTAAATTGATTTGTAGGACTATTCATTCAGAGATCTTTCTTTCATTCAGAGATCTTTCATTCAAAGTCATCGTCATCTCTTTGTGCTGTGTTTTTGTGTTTATTTGATTTTTTTTTTTTTTTAATCCATAGCTCTTCGGTAGGTTATTTGCAACATCCGGGATCAGAACAAGTACAGTTTCCTCGAACTACTTCCCCATGCAGTTCCCAACAGCTTCAAGGCCACCAGTGTCCAGGTATGAATAGATCACTGAACAAAAGGTAATGGTCTGCTCATGTGAGAAATAGTTCAGTTAATTTCCTTAGGCATTTCTACATAAAGGTCCTCAACTTGTGATGTGCTGAAGTTAATATATACAGTCCACATCTTCCTTTTCTACTGCTGCTAGTATCACACTACTATCTGATTCTCCTTTCTCATAAGTATTCATATTCTCTGGAGTCCTTTCCTAGGCCCTCCTCTTATTACTCCTCTAGCTCTTCTTGGGTAACCTGACTTACTTTTAGGATAAGTAAGATGTTGAGGCCTACAAAGTCCATTTTTAAACAAGACTTGTAGCATGATGTACTAGGACTTAAATCTGGTTTTCATATCTAATAGTAAAATCTTGTTCAGAAAGGTAAAGTTGCTGTTCAGAGAACAATAACTGGTTGTTTGGAAATACCAACTAGTTGCTAAAATATACTGATTATAGTGTCTCAATTTTGATTTTCAGCTGTGCCACCACCACCACCTGGTGGAGGAATGGTAATGATGCAACTCAATGTACCAAACAATCCACAGTCTCGTGCCCACTCGCCTCCTCAGTGGAAACAAAACAAATATTACTGTGATCATCAGAGAGGGCAGAAGTGTGTGGAATTTAGCAACGTAGACAATATTGTCCAGGTAAGATAATGTCATTCACTATTATAACTTCATATTTTTGTCACATAAGGTTGAAACCTGTAAGGTTTCGCACTGAATTTGAAATCTTCTCAAGTAGATTAATAAAGAAGTTTGGACATTTTCTATGTCCAGACATTATATTACAATATTTGAATATTATTTGCCAATGTCTGCAATGTTCAATTTTTTTTTAACTTCAGAAGATAAAAATCAGAAGATAGCCCAACCACAGTGATTCGCACTTGTAATCCCAGCACTTTGGGAGGCCAAGGCAGGAGGATTGCTTGAGACCAGACTGGGCAGCATAACAATACCTCGTTTCTGCAAACAACAACAAAAAATTAGCTGGGTGTGGTGGCCTGAGCCTGTAGCCCCAGCTACTCAGAAGGCTTAGGCAGAATGATCTCCTGAGCCCAGGAGGTTGAGGCTACAGTGAACCATGATCATGCCACTGCACTCCAGCCTGGGTAACAGGCTGAGGCCCTGACTCAAAAAAAAAATTTTTCAGAAGATAAACTAGATCTAAAATTTGGTAAAGAAAAAGAATCAAACATTTATCCTAACTTTACTATATAAACTGTTTTAGTGTAACCAAATAGTTGATGAGGGAATGTTCGTCATAAAAGAAATCCAGTTAATAGATGCAGAAGCAATGGTAGAATTAGGAAAATCTCCATTTTGGGAATCCTATTAAAACCATGCATCAGCCAGGTGCGGTGGCTCAAGCCTCTAATCGCAGCACTTTGGGAGGCTGAGGCAAGAGAATTGCCTGAGCCCAGGGGTTCGAGACCAGCCTGGGCAACTTGGTAAGACCTCATCTCTACAATATATCCAAAAAAATTAGCTGGGCATAGTAGCACATGCCTGTAGTTCGGCTACTTGGAAGGCTGAGGTAGAAGAATCCCTGGAGCCCAGCAGATCGACACTGGTGTCCATGAGTGTGCCACTGCACTCCAGCCTGGGTGACAGAGTGAGACTCTGACTCAAAAAAATAAATAATAATAATGAATCAAGGAAAACATCATTGCAGATGCTAAAAATATTAGGTGAAAAGTTTATGTGGGGGCTTTAAAATGGATGGACTGGGCAGACAATCCTGAACCCACTGGTCAGTTGTAGCATGATTAGAAGTGGGCCTAGGTAACATTATTTGCCTCGTTTTTTTTTTTTTTTTTTGAGTTGGAGTTTCACTCTGTCGCCCAGACTAGAGTGCAGTTGCATGCTCCCAGCCACTGCAGCCTCGACCTGCTGGGGTCTGGCGATCCTCCTGCCTCAGCCTTCCAAGTACCCAGAACTACAGGCGCGCTCTACCACACCCAGCTAATTTTTTATTTATTGTAGAGATGAGGTCTCACCAAGTTACCTGGTGGGTCTCGAACCCGCGGGCTCAGGCAGTCCACTCACCTCGGCCTCCTAAAGTGCTGGGATTACAGGCTGAGCCACCAAGCCCGGCCTATTTGCCTCTTAATAGAAGGAAGTACACAGTATTACCTATGATGCATTCTTGTCAAAAAATATTGAACCTGAATGTAAATAAGCTTCTAACTCTAGCTATTAATTTACAGGAAATATAGGAAGAAAAAGAACAGATTACTTGATACCAATGGGATATTTACTGGAAATATTGGCCCTGTTTCTTTAACAAACAAATGGCAATTTGAATTGGTAGCTAGGTCTGTTACAGATTAAAAGAGACTTGAGAGGATAATAATCATATGTAACATGGATTTTGTTTGGATACTGAACAATTAAAAGACATTTTTGAACAAAAGAATATTTAGATATGTTAATTTTGTTAGTATGATAATGTGTTGCAGTTATGTTTTAAAAAACTCTTGTCAGACCTGGCGTGTTAGCTCATGCCTATAATCCCAGCACTTTGGGAGGCTGAGGTGAGAAGAATCCTTGAGGTTAGGAGTTCCAAGACCAGTCTGGGCAGCAAAACAAGATGCCATCTCTACCCCAAAAAAATGGGAAAATAGCCAGGTGTGATGGTACACACCTGTTGTCCCAGCTGCTCAGGATGCCAAGGCAGGATTGCTTGAGCCCAGGAGTTCAAGGCTGCGGTGAGCCATGATTGTGCCACTGAACTCCAGCCTGGGTGACAAAGTGAAACCCTCAACAACAAAAAAAGTTCTTGTCTGTTACAGAGACATATTTCATAACTGAGATATTTACAAGTAAAATGCTATAGTATCCAAGATTTGCTTTAAATACTTCAGGAAAAACAAAGCAGGGTAATCACAGGTGAAGCTGGGTAATGGGTACATGGAAGTTCATTATACTTGTCGTCTAAACTTTTATATATTTGAAATTTTCAGAACTATCAGTCATAGAAGAAAGACTGAGACTCTCTTCCAGATTACAGAGTCATGACAGCCAAATGCAGTCCGTGATTCTAGTCTGGATTCTGGATTTAAAGGGGAAATTTTTTTTTTTTTTTTGAGTTGGAGTCTCACTCTTGTCACCCAGGCTGCAGTGCACCCAGGCACACTCACTGCCCCTGCAGCTTTGACCTGCTGCGTTTAGGTGATCCTTCCTCCTCAGCCTTCCAAGTAGCTGGAACTACGGACGCATGCCACAACGCCAGTTAGTTTTTGTGATTTATTGTAGAGATGAAGTCTCACCAAGTTGCCAGGCTGGTCTCGAACCTCCGAGCTCAGGCAATCCTCTTGCCTCGGCCTCTCAAAGTGCTGGGATTACAGGCTGAGCCACCGTGCCCAGCCAGAAAATTTTTAAAACTTTTGCTATAAGGATATCGTTATTAATTTATTGTTTTGTTATTATTCCACTGTGGTTATATAAGAAAATGTCCTTGTTTTTAGGAAATGGACACATTATTTTGGAGTAAAGGAATATCATATGCAACTAACTTTCAAACAGTTCAGGAAAAAACTATAATATATAAAGAGGGAAAGAGAAAGCAAATGTAATAAAATGTTAACATCATTTGAGGAATCTGTGAATTCTTTATACTATCTTTGCAACTATTCTCTAAGGATGAAATTATTTAAAAATGAAATGTTAAAAAAACATTTGATATGAAAGAATGAGATAAATATATAATGAGATAAATGATATTATCCATGTATTACTTTTAGTTTGCTGTAATCAGAAGTGTCTAGACACTGATGGTAACTACTTTGGGCACCTTTTGTAATTGCAGAAGTCAAACATGACTTGTGTTCATCTTTTATTATCAGCATATATTGGGTATTACAATTTTAATATAGTATTTTTCTTTCTTAAAATATGTATACATATTTTGGCACCCTCTGTATATTCTTTCACGCAGAGTATCAACAATATTATTGTCAAGGCACAAAACAAGATTCAGAACTAAAAATTAGTGTAGTGTGTTCACATTTCTGTACAAAGTACAGGTATGAATGCATATGAATAGAAACAATCTGTTACCAGGATTTATCTCTGGGAGTTGGAGATTACATATTTCTGTAATATGTGACTTTTTTTTTAACATCATATACTTCTAATGAGGAAGAATGAATAACAATTTTTGTGCAAAAGAAAATTTGCAGAAAGCTTCCCCAAAATGCTGACCCATTTTCTTGATGTATTATAATTACAGCACAGCCCTCAACTCAGTAGCCCCATTATTTCACCAGCTCAGTCGCCAGCACCAGCTCAGCTGTCCACCCTAAAAACTGTACGTCCCTCTGGACCACCACTTTCCATCATGCCCCAGTTTTCTAGACCTTTTGTCCCTGGACAAGGTAAGTATGCATAAAACTAGTCACAACTTCAAATAATTTAGGACATCATTTCCACACACTTGGTAATTTATCTTGGTAATACTACCTTTCTGTATCATAATTGTATGATAGAATTAAAATGGCTCTAACTTATCCTCGGGATCCATTCCTCTCATAGTAGTAATACACGGTGTTCTACATTTGTTCTGTATGTTTAATTTCTATAGTAGAGTATATATATCAAAAATTTAGTAAAATAACGTATTCAACAAACATTTATTGAGGACATACTGTGCCCTTGGTATACAAAGATGAAAAAAGACATCCTCACTGTCATCAACCCTCAGTCTACTTGGAGGAATAGACATGCAAGTGAGTAAACTACTATGGAAACCATTTTTTTTATTTCCTGGAATTTATCCTAAGGATTATGCACACAAAGATTTATGTACAGCCGGGCTCGGTGGCTCAGCCTGTAATCCCGCGCCTTTGGGAGGCTGAGGTAAGTGGATTGCCTGAGCCCGCGGGTTCGAGACCCGCCTGGGCAGGGAGACCTCATCTCTACAATAAATCAACAAAATCAGCCGGGTGTGGTAGCGCATGCCTGTAATTCCGGCTACTCGGAGGGCTGAGGCGGAAGGATCACCAGAGCCCAGCAGGTCGAGGCTGCGGTGGCCGGGAGCGGCCACTGCACTCCAGTCTGGACGACAGAATGAGACTCCAACTCAAAAAAAAAAAGATTTATGTACAGAAGAATTTATTCTATAACAAAAAAAAATTTAAAAACATTCTAAATGTCTATCTGTGAGGAATTGTTAAATTATGGTATATCTATACACTATCTAAAAATCATGTTTTAAAGAATCACTAAAAGGGAAAATTTTACAATATGGTGAGTGATTTTGAAAAACAGGTTACATGGACATTTCAAATTGAATACTGATGTCCAATAAGCCCTTGAAAGGGTATTCCACATTATTAGTCATGAGGGGAAAAAGCTAGAATGAGATATCCCTTTGCACCCATTCCATTACAGTGGCTATAGTAGTCGGGCACAGTGGCTCAAGCCTGTAATCCCAGCACATTGGAAGGCCAAGGTGAGAGGATTGCCTGAACTCAGGGGTCCGAGACCAGCCTGGGCAACTTGGTGAGACCTTATCTCTACAACAAACCAAAAAATAAGCCGGGCATGGTAGCGCATGCCTGAAGTTCCAGCTACTTGGATGGCTGAGGCGGAAGGATCGCCGGAGCCCAGCGGGTTGAGGCTGCGGTGTCCCTGAGCATGCCATTGCACAGCGACAGAGTGAGGCTGTGACTCCAAAAAAAAAGAATGACTGTAATAAAAAAGACTGACAATATCTAATATTGGCAAAGATACAGGGCAACTAAAATTCTCACACATTGGTAGTGGTGGTGTAAAATGATAAAACTACCTTGAAGAAGGTTTGACAGTTTTTTACAAATTCAATCACTTGCCACACAACCTAGCAATTCCACTCCTAGGTGAAAGAGAAATGAAAAAAATGTTCAAACAGACTTGTGCAAGAATATGTATAACAACCTTTTTATAATAGCCCAACTGGATGTGACCCACATGTCTACCAACAGGAAACTAACTGGAAAGCAAACTGTGTTATATCCTTACAATGGAATACTACTCAATAATAGAAGTGAACAAAGCGAGCTTCTGACACAAAACAACGTACATGAGTCTCAGATACATTATGTTAAGCAAAACACAAACCAGACCAAAAAAGAATATATTCTGTATGATTTTAATGATATGAAATCCAGCTACAGACAAATTAATCTGTAATGTTAGAAACCAATGGTAAGGCTGGGGTGTGGAATTGACTAGAACGAAGGCTGGAGAGAACTCTTCTAGGGTTCTTTGTTTTTGGGGGATTCATGATTACATGGACTTTTACAGTTGTTAGAATTCATCAAACTCAACATAAAATACATATTTCTATTGTATTTAATTACCTCTCATCTTTTTTAGACCTTCAAGATATACACACATATGCATATATGAGCACACACATATATAGACCACCACCAAATGTGAGAAGTGATGGAATTACCAGGGAGGTTTTTATTTTCTCCTTTGTAATTCTTTATTTCCATATTTTGTATAAGCCAATTACTTTAATAATCTAGAATAAATTATGTTGTAAAAAATAAACTGAGGCCAGGCACATTGACTCATGCCTGTAATCCCAACACTTTGGAAGACTGAGATGGAAGGATCACTAGAGGGTGAGAGTTTAATGTTGCCTGGGCAACATTGTGAGATTCCACCTCTACAAAAATAATTTTTAAAAATTAGCCCAGCATGACAACATGTGGCTCTTGTACTAGCTACTCAGAAGACTGGGGTGGTAGGGACCCTGAACCCAGAAGGTGGAAGTTACAGTGAGCTATAATCCATACCACTGCACTGCACTCCGGCCTGCATGAAAGAGACCTTGTCTATAAATAAATAGATAAATTAAAACTATATGTGGCATACAGTCTGGCAGAAATGCCCCAAGAGGAACACGTAGCCTAGCCTATATGGAGGGGTCTTTGGTTACAGCTGACTACCACCTACCTTTACAGCTGACTACCATCTACCTCACTTCCATATTTGAAAAAAATACTGCTATATGTAACTAAATCTTAGGTGTCTTTGTCTAGGGGTTTAAAAAAAAATTTTTTTTTTAGTTGGAGTCTCATTCTGCCACCTAGGCTGGAGTGCAGTGGCACGCTCACAGCCACCCCAGCATCGATCTGCCAGGCTCAGGTGATCCTTCCACCTCAGCCTTCCAAATAGCCGGAACTATAGGCACATGCTACCAAGTCTAGCTAATTTTTTTGATTTATTTAGAGATGAGGTCTCGCCAAGTTGCCCAGGCAGTTATCAAACCCGCAGGCTCAGGCAATCCCCTCATCTCACCTCCCAAAGTACTGAGATTAGAGGCTTGAGCCACCTCACCCAGCCAGTTTCCAAAATTTTTAAGCAACTTTCTCTTGTTTTGTTAATGCTAAGCTTTTGAGACATACTAATTTTTTAAGTTCCATAATGAAAACCTTAACTCTGACTTCTTTACAACTTTTTTTATACATCTTCATACTTCATGTTACATCTCTGATCTCAGTGCTAAGCCCCAAGTCATATCTACCCTTCAACTAGAGTTTGAGAAAGGACATGGGTGTGTCCTGCCAGGGAGCTGCCCAAGCATCTTCACAGTGGTCATCAAAAAGGAACTCCGTGGAATGGCAGGAAGTCCATGCCTTGCTTCCCTGTTATGAAGCTCTTGGGAGAAGGGGTGTACGATTTCCTGAAGATGCTTTCCTAGCATCTACTGATAGCCTTCCTCCAAACACAGAATGTTTGGGGACTTACAGTTAAAATAAGGTTTTCTCCAAGACAGAGTTTTTACAGTCAGCATTTATTAAGTTTTTACTGTGTGCTGGCTTTAAGCTCTCCTGAGTGAAAGAAAACAACTAAAAGATCTCCATCCTGACGACACAACACTTAGTGATTTAGGAAGAAGAAACTTATGAATGACAGGAACTGCTACTCTTTCTAAGCAAGTTCAAGTTATAAATACACAATTTCATTTAAAGAGAGATTTAAGAGCAGACTCAGTGCTTAGAACATACATTAACCCATTGGTTAAAACTATTCAAATGTATGTGAGTATATCTGAAAGTATGCTTGCATAAATTTATAGCAACTAGTAGTGAGTTGAGGGAGATAATACAATTTAATGCTTATCTAGAGTTTTTTCCTTCCTCTGAAATGTAAGTTTTTAATCATCATTAAAAGATAGGGATTTGGACAGGTGTGGGGCTCAGCCTATAATCCCAACACTTTGGGAGGCCAAGGCAAGAGGATTACCTGAACCCAAGGGTTCAAGACAAGTCTGGGCAACTTGGTGAGACCTGGTCTCTACAGTAAATCAAAAAATACCGGACATAGTAGCACGTGCTTGTAGTTCTAGCTACTTGGAATACTGAGGTCGAAGGATCACCCAAGTCCAGCAGGTCGAGGCTACAGTAGCCATGAGTGTGCCACTGCACTCCAGCCTTGGGCGACAAAGTGAGACTCCAACTCAAAAAAAAAAAAAAAAAAAATAGGGATTTTAGCATCTCAAGTGGTTGGAATCTGTATTCATTATTTTGGTGTCTTTCATATGGGATGTTAGATTTAGGGTCGTAGTTTTCCTAACTTCTTTCTCTTCCATATCTTCCTTTTTTTACATTTCATTTTCATCTACTTTTTAAAAATTGGTTACTTTTTTGAATAGATAATACACTGACATGGTTCAAAAATCAAATCATTTTAAAGTATACAAAGAAGTTTCTTTCCATCCTATCCTCTATCTATTTAGTTCCACTCACCCCACCCTCCTTCATAATCACTGTTATTAGTTCTTCATCTTTTCAGGATTGTGCCCTGGCTCTTTAAAGGATACGTGGAAATTTTTTATTATTTTAAATATATATATATATAAATTACTTATACTTGTTTTATTCTGCCAAATGTGTTTCCCTTATTTATCTTAATTGTTTTGAGCAATTTAGAAAACTCTGGCAAGTACATCTTAACTGAGGAAAGAAGAATGTAAAAAAGGTTTTTTACTGACTTTCAGGAGATGCCAGGTATCCCTTACTTGGCCAACCACTGCAGTACAACCCTCCTGCTGTTCTGCACGGACACATTTCAAGCCAACAGGTATGAAAGGCAACGGTCTGATCTCCTAGACTCTGTTGAAGAACATACTTATGTTGCTGAGAGTATGGGGGGCACCCCTGAACCCCCCTGTAGATGCTGCTCAAGGAGTTTTCTGTGCCTCCACTGGTTTATCCAGGTTATTACTGGCTCCGTCAGGAGGAGAGCAAAGGGAAGGTGGCACACTGCTTGCCAGAGCAGTGATTCTCCAGTGGGTGGTAGCTTGGCTTGTGGCATCTTTGCTAATGAAGGACAGTCAGCAAGTGATTGATCGTGGTGAGGGGCAGGAATGCCATGGCCACAGAGGCAGAATTCAGAAGACCTGGGACTGGTTGACTTCTGGCAGAGTGCAAAATCCAGACTAAGTATGTTTAGGTGCTAAGTTTTTAAACATTACAAGCACGCTTTTCAGCACTATTAACCTTATTTCTGAACGACTTATGGATCTTCAGGGTCAGCCTGGCAGCAGGCATGGAAACCGAGGAAGGAGACAAGCTAAAAAAGCTGCATCCGCAGACCTTGGAGCAGGAGAAGCAGGTTTGTCCCTAAGGTGCAACTGGATGTGGGTCTGCAAACTGCTGGCAGTCTTTAAAAGTATACCATGGCTCAGAAATAGATTTTTCTCTACCTAGAGTCCCACAGCAAGTCATAGGAAATGTTGCCGTCGCTAACTTAGGGTTCTTGGATATGTTCTTATAACCCTCATTTCAAATTTGAGAGTATATATAGTAAAGTGCGGGTGGGCTTTACCCTTTAGGCAAGGGGTCAGGGCTAATAGTGTTCAGCCTGAGACTCTTAGCCTTTGTGTTCTTTGAGAAAGGGGTTGTCCTTATATCCACAGTGGCAGAGAGTCTGAATGAACAAATACATTGCTATACTATGGTAGAGATACTATGTTAAAGTATCTTCAAGTTTGTACTTTAACTTTCTATTTAACAGCCTTTGGGTGGTTAGGACAAGTGCTACTATTTTATTTCACAATGGAAATGTGAAGTTCAGGAAAACATTTGCCTGAGAACACACACCTAATTTAGAGAAGCCACTGTAGAATGTTGCATCTTATATGTGCAACTAATCAGTGGAGACTGTGAAATCAATGGCTTACCACTATTAGCCCTCCTCCCTTACCTAAGGGGTAAGTAGGAAGGATTTAAAAGATGGCCCTGGCCAGGCGCAGTGGCTCAAGCCTGTAATCCCAGCACTTTGGGAGGCCAAAGTGAGGGGATTGCCTGAGCCCATGGGTTCAAGAACAACCTGGGCAACTTGACGAGACCTCGTCTCTACAATAAATCAGAAGATTAGCTGGGTGTGGTAGCACGCACCTGTAGTTCCGGCTACTTGGGAGACTGAAATGGAAGGATCGCCTGAGCCCAGCAGGTCAATGCTGGGGTGGCTGTGAGCGTGCTACCGCGCTCCAGCCTGGGTGATGGAGTGAGACTTCAACTCACAAAAAAAAAAAGACGGCCCTAACAATTAACATCTTGGGGATTTGAATGGTCACTTCCTATGTCATATTTGGGTCTGAAGTACTTTGCCCAACTTTTTTTGATAACAGGATGTATTAATTCTACACCTTTTCCATTCTAGTTGTTGGGAAGGTCTTGGAAATTACTGAACTACCAGATGGAATAACTCGCATGGAAGCCGAGAAGCTTTTTGGGGAACTCTTTAAAACTGGCGCCAAGATCCGGTGGCTCCGGGACCCCCAGTCCCAGCCACATCGTCACCCCCTCTGCTGTGGCAGCGGGGACAACACTGTCAACCCTGAACGCTCTAAACACGGCGACTTGGCCTCCACGTACACCGTCTTAGCCACATTTCCCTCCATTTCAGCTGCACAGAATGCATTGAAGAAACAGATTAACTCAGTTAACAAGTTTAAGCTGAGAACAAGCAAGAAGCACTATGACTTTCACATTTTGGAAAGGTCAAGTTCTCAGTAACAGAGCCATCTTTGGACCCTTGACCTTTATGATGCCCCTGCCCTCTCATCTTTGATTGGCTTGGTATTTGGAGCTTCTGTTAACACTATAGAGACTCCTAGGACGTGTGGTCATGGCGTTATAGCTTTTGAAGAAAGGCCAGTGATCCAGCAAAAGGGGAAAAAAGATATACATTTCACCCCACCTGATTGTAGGAATCCACATCAGAATGATACAGAGTTAGCAGATTTTTCTAAGGAAATGCTGTTCAAATGCCTCCTAACTTTTATAGTTATTTTGTTTTCTATTTCTGAATTCTTGTATCAGATCCAAAGCTCTATTGTACAGCAAATTTTTCTTCAAAATGATTATAACCAATTGCAACCTGTATTTCTTTTTGCAGCCAGCACAATGTGACCCAATTTAGAATTTGGGGGAAAAAGAACACAAGAGCGGAATAACCCAGTCAGAACCATGTACTGCATCTCCTTGGGTGGCTGGGGGTGCTAAGGAGAGCCACAGACAGAAGATTACTCTTCCCCTGAATCTCTAAACACAAAAACAGTTTCCAGAAAATGCAGAACTCTTCCTCATAGGGTCCCTTCTTTATTCATTAAGTATAAAGTAAATTATGTTCTTAATGCCTTTCAATCAAACCACATAGAGTCAAGGGAAGTAGGAATCATTCTAGACAGGAAAGTACTTCCACTTTTTTAAGTATCCCTCCCATAACTAAATGCCACTTATTTGCATTCCCCTCCTTGTGGATTTTTTGTCACCTAAGAAAATGCATCTGATGAGTGCTGGAAACATCTTGAGTGGTTTACAATTTGTTTTCATTGTTTGCAGCGGATCACTGGACATCAAAAGATTATTGCACTTATGAACAAGGAACCTTCCTTTCAACTTCTATGTAATTTGCAAGGCTGTACAATGTGTGCTGATGCAAGCCTTTTTCAGTTCAAGAGAATAAATGTTTACAAATATAAGCCCACTTTGTCTTTTTTTTCATTAAAAACACCTTTTACATGGGTGTCTTTTTTTTAATAACATGTCTTGAAGATTTAAGTCAATTTTAGGGTTATAGACAATGAAAGACAGCAAACCCCCCTCATTTTACAAATATCTTAGATGCATCCCTTTCTCTATTGGAGTAATTCTTGGCTATGACTTATGTTACTTTATTCTTATAAAGTTATTATCAGTTGTAGACAATTTGAAGTGTTAACTTACAGTCAGGCAACTTAAGATAGAGCATTATGTTTCATTAGATAAAGAATTTGTGTTTTGCTTATATATCGCATACCCAGTTAGGCTCAAATGCTTTATAAACATCGTTCCCCATTGGTTAGCCAAGCAAAGTCAAACTTCCAGGAAATCTAAAAGGTGGGGTCTGCCAGCTGCAGCTTGCCTGGAACCTGGTTTGCTTCTAGCTCAGACTAGGACTTCACTGTGAAACTGAAGAGCATCAGGTTTCCAGACTCTGGCATGGATGTCACTCACTTGAGAGCATTTGCAAGGTCCCACTTGGCCCCAGGAAGTGCCAGGCCTCCCCACATGCTGGCATATCCCAAAAACAAATATTGTACCCTGGGATCAGAAGTTGGAGCTGCCTCAGGACACATCAGAACAAGAAGCCATACCTAGGGGAAGGAGTAAGAGGATTAAAAATCATCCATTTCTAAGGCACACTTTCCTGTTTTTGATCTAGAATCTGATTTCACCTATATAAAAATGATGGGTGGGAGAAGCACACACAGGAGTCATCTAAGATGTCATTTGGCCCAGAGTTAAACCTTCCTAAAGACAACTTCAGATGTTTCATGGCCTGGTCATAATCCTTATATTGGGTTTTGCCAGAGCAGTGACCATATTTAGGGGCAGATAGTACTTTTACCAACAAAGTACATTATTTCCTGTACCAGTATTAGCAGCCATAGCAGTCCTTTCTTTGGGAATGCTAGAGATCATTTCATAACTTACCATTTCTGCTACTTTATATATATTAATTAGAATACTGCGACTAAGGCTTAAGGTTTTTAAGCCCTTGGTTCATGAAGGACATAGATATATTGGGTATGTGTTTGTGAACCTAGAGTAAAAAGTGTGTTTGCCATGGGACCAAAAGTAATTAAAAGTTACTAGGTTGGCATAAAAACGGACAACAAAATAGGGATCTGAGCCCTCCCCTAAGCTAAGAAAAGAAAATCTTTTCTTGATCCCACCAGGGAGGCCTGTGAAAACAGCCCTCTGAGTAGAACCCACAATTTCTAAGTGACTCGGGAAGAGTCAAAGCAGCACATCGGGAAACAGCTACTTCAGGAAACAGCTGAGTTGGGTTCTCTATGTGTATCAGCAATAGAATATGTAAATGCAAGACTTCAGCAGAGGAGCAAGCCACCGGGCCTTTGTAAAGGCAGTTAGACCCCCTAATCCCAAACTGAGGATGTTATCTACAGTCTTCAAAGGCAGAGGGCATGGGCTCCATCTTCTAGTGCCCAGTGTGGCGCTAGCACAAAGGTGCTCATACATGCTAGCATGATTCAAAGCCGGCACCAGGTTGCCTAGGATTCTAGAAACCTTCAAGAGCCGGTGCTAAAGGAGAGCCTGAGGCTCTCACATTCAGCCCATGACCACCAGCATGAAAAACAGATTGGGCTGCACTTTAATCCACCCACATGCCCACATATGCTCAGGCTGCACAGTGCATAATGGTTTATTATTTTCCCCATCAGTGTCTACGCTTGGATTCATTTTGGTTTGATTTCTTTTTTTTTTTTTTTTTTAGTTGGAGTCTCTCTCTGTCGCCCAAACTGGAGTGCAGTGGCCGCTCCCGGCCACCGCAGCCTCGACATGCTGGGCTCCAGCGATCCTTCCGCCTCAGCCTTCCAAGTAGCTGGAACTACAGGCGAAGCGCGCACTACCACGCCCGGCTGATTTTTGATTTATTGTAGAGATGATGTCTCGCCAAGTTGCCCAGATGGGTCTCGAATCCGCGGGCTCAGGCAATCCACTCACCTCAGCCTCCCAAAGTGTGGGATTACAGGCTGAGCCACCGAGCCCGGCTTGGTTTGATTTCATCAGCATAAGAATATTGGAAGGGTGTAAGGAAAAGGCAGTAAGAACTTCTGAATCAAAAAAACAAAAATGGCCAGGTGCGGTGACTTACGCCTGTAATTCCAGCACTTTGGGAGGCCGAGGCAAGAGGATTGCTTGAGCCCAGGAGTTCAAGATCATCCTAGGCAACATAAACCTTGTCTCTACAAAAAAATTTTTTTTTAATTAGACAGGCATGGTGGCGTGCACCTGTAGTCCCAGCTACTTGGGAGGCTGAGACAGAAAGATCACCTGAAGCTGGGAGTTTGAGGCTGCAGTGAGCTTTGATCATGCCACTGCAATCCAACCTGAGCAACAGAGTGAAACTCTAACTAAAAAAAAAAAGATAACAATTCCCATTTCCCAGAAAATGAGGCTCAAATTCCATATAATCTGACTTTTGCTCTCATGCCCCACATTCTGCCACTTCCTCCAGCCCTACTATATATTCAGACTAAGTCACATTTTTTTCCTCAACCACACCATGTACTCATGTCTATTACTCAGTGCCTTTGCTCACGCCACAGGCAGGCCCATCCCTTTTCTGCTTAGAAAATGTTTACAGGACCTTCAAGGCTTAGCTTGAATGACTCTGCCTCTGTGCTGCCTTTCTGGCATCCCAGCCTCCTGCAGAACTCACTGCCTTTGTCTGTGCTTTTGTGGCACTCTGTGACCCTGGATTCTAGGACCTGTTGTGTTAGTTCCATTGATGTATGCTTACATGTCATGCATCTGTCTCCACAAAGATAGAGACCATGTCCTACTTAGCCTACTCACTGTATCAATCAGGCAATGAGGACGCTTTTAGCTGCAAATAATAGGGAGCAGAGGGAGTGGCTTAAATAATGAAATGTATTTTTCTACATAACACAATGTCTTCAGGTGAGGTGCTTCCATGAGTGGCCAATGCAGCAGTTCAAATACACCGCCAATGACCCAAATTCCTTACACCTTTCTACTCCACCTCCTGGCCATATTGGCTCACACTTTGGGGCTGATTCCTCTCGTAGCTATTGCAATTCTAGGTGTCGCCTGCAGGTGGGAACATTCAGAAACGGAAATGGGAACATGGAAACTTATGGCTTTCCCAGAAGTTCTGAGATTTCACCTCTCATCTACCAGAATTTTATCACATGCCTCTGTCTAGAGAAATTATTTGGTACGGGGAATAAGAGCACTGTGATTGATTTTAGTTATCAAGATTGGCCCTTTTCGATGGTGAGGGACTTAGTTTCCTCCTGTGAAGGACAAGGCCGCTTGGAAGAGAGCCAATAAAAACAAATGGTGAGCAGTGAAAGGTAGATGACCGAAGAAAAGCAAACATTTTGCCCCTTTAGTGCTTACTCTGGTGTCCAACACATAGTGGGGCTCGGCCAGTGTTTACTGAATGAATGAAGCACCAGTGGACGGTGCCATGACCTCTTAATTTCTTCGCCCATTCCTTCCTTGCTGACTACCCCTCATCCAGTTTAATCCTTAGCATTCACTCCTTGATGACTTCAGTGGCCTTCCAGCTGGTACACTTGCCTTCCATTTCTTCTCTCCTACTTCATCTATTGAAATCCTATGCATGCTCCATCCGTGAAGATTTACCTGATTACTCAAGTCTATTGAGATAAAAATCATAATACCTAATACTTATTGAACATGGGTGTGCTAAGCATTGTATTAAGGGCTTTATAATGCTTAAAGTTACAAAATCCTAATTCAAAGGGGCTAAAACAGTCAAAAGAATGTATTGGTTCACTGTAATTGAAAATACCCAGGAGAAAGGTTCTGGCATGGTTGGGTCCAGGAGCTCTGCGGTACCATCAGGATATTCTCTCTCTTCATCTGCGGGCTCTTCCGTGATCTATCTGCATTGGCTTTATAGAGACAGACCCTTTCCCTTAGGTGACAAGATAGTCATCGGCAAACCCAACTTATATCCTATTCTCTTGGTGTCTCCAGTGAAGGAAAATGACGCTTTTCCAAAAATTTCTATAAAATTCCAGAAATTGAGTGTCATTGGTCAGGCTTGGGGCGAGAGCCCTCGCGGAAGCCATCATGGTCGTCAGAAAGAATGGGTTGGCCAACCTGAGTCACGAGCTTCCTTCTGGAGAAGAGGAAGGAAGGTGGCGCCACACAGACCACGTGGACTGAGAGTGTCTACCCAAAGGACGACTGAAATGCTGTGATCTCAGCGTGGAGGAATGAACACTAGACAGGCAAAAACACCAGATGTCTGCGTTACATACATGATCTTATCTCATTCTTAAAATAATCCATTGAAGTCAGTATCAGTAGCTATATTCTAACGAAGTTTGGAGAGAGAAAGCAGCAGGCTAATAAATCATTTTCTCAGGTTTAGAACTCCAGAGACAGTGCCCTCAACTCTATTATTTCATTTAACACATTTTACACTGCACTATGTGACTTATTTGGATTTGATTCTATACTGCCTAGTATTGCTGGTGGTTTTCTTTATTTCTCTCTCTCTCTCTCTCCCTCCCTCTCTCTCTCT